CGGGGTGGGGTGTGAGCATGCGCAACAGGGGGCTCCTGGCTGCTGCCCGGGAATGAGGCACTGTCGTCATTGCAGTGACGTGGGGGCGCGCGGGGCCTGGCACACGTGGGGGCGCCCAGGACGGGGGCGTCTCGCGTGACCGTGCAGGGGACGTAGGCTTACGTGTGCGAAGAAGCCCGCCCTGCCCCGGGAACTTGCCCCAGCTTCACAGTTGGCCCACCGCAACAGGGGGCTCCTGGCTGCTGCCCGGGAATGAGGCACTGTCGTCATTGCAGTGACGTGGGGGCGCGCGGGGCCTGGCACACGTGGGGGCGCCCAGGACGGGGGCGTCTCGCGTGACCGTGCAGGGGACGTAGGCTTACGTGTGCGAAGAAGCCCGCCCTGCCCCGGGAACTTGCCCCAGCTTCACAGTTGGCCCACCTGACACCCTCAGAATAGCAAACAAAGTCGGATCACCTGACACCGTCAGGTGTCCCGCAGGCAACGGATCCCGTTGCCTCCATCATTTTATTCTTTCTTCAATCTTGACTTTTTTTTTTTTCCGCCAGGTGAACTAGGCGCGTCACGAACAGACATGTTCAGTCCCTATCATGTATTTCGTAACGCCAGAACAAAGAAGCCCTACCTATGCTGAAATTTAAAACAAAAAAGGAAGCATTTTAAAAATAATTTAAAACATCTTTTCCAGCTGAACTGAATGCATCTTAAAGCAGTCCTTGCTTGAATATGGCTTGTTTCTCTCCATGCTGCCTACCAGCATTCAGAAATGGGTTTAGTCAGGGTTCCTTGTGTGTGTTGCACCCCTGCATGAATGGGCCTCAACGTTTTAGCAGTTTCCAGTCAACTTGCTACTTACTCTTCTTGCTAATTAGGAGGGTGAAAGTCTCATTATGCCAGTGCCTGTATCAGCAGTTCTCGACCTTTTTTTGGACTCAAGGTACCTCTTAGTCGAGTCAAGGCTCCTCCATAACTTTTGTGAACTGAGTGGCACCCAATTTGAGGAACTAGTTTAGGTGTTACAGTGCTTCCCTCCTTGCAGAGGGGATGGGGGTCAGCCAGGAAGGACAGTCAGGTGCAGGCCTGGCCAGGTTGGCCTGCACTTAGCTGCTTATTTCTTCATACCCTTAGGCACCCTTTGAAGGAATTGGCAGCACCCCAGGGTGTTGCAGCACCCTGGCTGAGAATTACCGGTCTATATAAACCAGTGGTTCTCAACCTTTTTAGCTTTGAGGCACCTCTGCATAGACTTGAAGCACCCCTGGATAACTCCAAGGCACTTCTGGATAAACTTGAAGAACCCCTGGATAGCCCTGAGGCACATCTGGATAGACGTGATGAACCCCTTGATAGCCCAGGGGCACCTCTGGATTGACTTGTGCCTCTGGGCTATCCAAGGATGCTTCATCTGGATAGACTTGATGAACACCTGGATAGCCCTGAGGCACCTTTGGATAGACTTGAAGCACCCCTGCATAGCCCCGAGCCACTTCTGGATAGACTTGGAGCACCCCAGGATAGCCTAGAGGCACCTCTGGATGGCTTGGAGGCAAGGCACCTGTGCACAGACTTGGAGCATCCCTGCATAGCCTGGAGGCACCCCTCCGGAAACGCCAGCTCGTCGTTCTCCCTTTTTCTCACCTATGGGAAAGCAACCGAGCAGTTTTGTGTAGCGAAGAGCTCCAAGCACAACCGGGGGCTGCTCTCTGCCACCTCTGGCCTGGCTGCGCGTGAACCCGGCCCGGCCCGGCAGTGCTGCCCGCGCGGCCCCGGAAGGCTGTGGGCGCAGCCCGGGGCTCCAGGGCGGCCCGGCTGCGAATCGGACCGGGCAGGAGCCCCGCAGGCGAGGCGAGGCGAGGCGAGGCGAGGCGAGGCGGGCCGGGCCGGGGGAGGGGGGGGGGGGG